AAAATAGCAGAATGATAGATTTGTGACTGTCTGTGAAGGACTATATAACTGTAATAATATAGGGAAAATCAGTGGGAGAGTGAGAAGCGGACTTGGAGAGGAAGTAAGGGGCAAGGGAAATCCCAGAACCTATGGAACTGTATCACAAAATAATAATTTAAAAAAGAAAACTAAATAAGTAGTCACTTGGCAAAAAAAAATAAAAATCACTGCACCAGCCTCCAGAACTTTTCTGTGCTGGCCCCTCCCAGAGATGGATGGCCTGCGCGCCGATCTGCCACCATGGGATGTTTCAGGATTCAACTCCAATGCTATTTACATTGTTAAACCTTACCTGGCCTGTGTGCAAATAGGTTTAATCTCTGCCTCAACTTTTTTTTTTCCCAAGACAGTTTTGTAGGTATAGGGGTTCTTCCCTCTCCACCTCTTGCTCTCTATCCATTTTCCCCCAAAATGTCAAAGCACTATAGTCCCTTAGTAATAGTTACAAGTCTAACTTTCTACTATTTAAACGTACCATGGCATGGTAGGTATAGGCAAAGATAGAAACACCTAATATCATATACAATAAAGGTATATTTACATGTTTCATTGGGAGTCCTACTTTACTCAGGAGTTGAGATACACTACAACACATCTTTCTGGAATGCTGGTCTCCATTGTATAATTCATCTATGAGCATATAAATATATATTTGATTACCTATATTTACTTTAAAAATATTTATTTATCTTTATTGGAAAGTCAGATATACAGAGAGAAATTTCTTCCATCCACTGGTATATTCCCCAAGTGACTGCAATAGCTGGAGCTGAGGTCCGATCTGAAGTCTGTAGCCAGGAGCTTCTTCTGGGTCTCCCACATGGGCGTAGGATCCCAAGGCTTTGGGCCATCTTCCATTGCTTTCCCAGGCCACAAGCAAGGAGCTGGCTGGGAAGTGGGGCCACCGGGACATGAACTAATGCCCATATTGGATCCTGGTGCATGCAAGGTGAGGGCCCACCTATGTTTTTTACATTGTGTAAAGGTTGTATTATATCAGAGAACATATGATATGTACATTTGGAGACTGTCTTCTTTCACTAAGCATAATGGTTTCCAGTTGGGGACCATTTTGTTGCAAAAAGTAGGATTTCATTCTTTTTTATGGCTGAGTAGTATTGAGTAGATGTACCACAATTTTTTTTTTTTTAATTTATAATTTTTTTTGAAAAGGCAGATTTACAGAGAGGGAGAGACAGATCTTCCATGCATTGGTTCATTCCCCAAGTAGCCACAACAGCTGGAACCAGGAGCTTTTTCTCGTCTCCCACACAGGTACAGGTTTTGGGCTGGCCTCGACTGCCTTCCCAGGCCACAAGCAGGGAACTGGAAGGAAAGCTGAGCAGCCAGGATACAAACTGGTGCCCATATGGAATCCTAGTGCATGCAAGGTGAGGAGTTTAGCTGCTAGGCTACCACATTGGGCCCTACCACAATTTCTTTATCCATTCCACTGTTGATGGGCATCTTTGTTTCCATGTGTTCACTACTGTGAATCTTGTTGTTATAAGGTTGCAGGTTGCATTCCTGTATGCAAGTTTCATTTCATTTGGATATATTCCCAGCAGTGGGATAGCTTGGTCATATGGTAGATCAGTTCTCGGTTTTGTGTGCATTCTATACTGACTTCCATAGGGGCCGCACAAGTCTACACTCCCACCAACAGTGAAGTAGGGTACCTATTCCCCCACATCTGGGACAGCTGTTTGTTAATTTCTGCATGTAGGTCATTCTCTCAGTGGAGTTAGGTGGAACCTCAGTCTGATTTTACTTATATTCCCCTAACTGCTAGGGAGACTCTGCATTTTTTCCATGCCTATTAGCCACTTGAGTTTCTTCTTTTGAAAAATAACTGTTCATGTCCTTGGTCCATTTCTTAACAGGGTTGTCTGCCATTGTTGCATTTCTGAAGCTCTCTGCCACAACTCTTACACAATGTGGCCCACTGTTTCTAGACTTGGACTAGGAATCCATTTAGCTGTTCAGACACTGCTTCAGAACAACCACATCCTCTGTCAGAGGGCCCGGGTTTGAGTTCCTTCTCTGCTCCTGATTCCAGCTTCCTGCTAATGTGCAGCCTGACAAACAGCAAGAGAAGAGATGGCTCAAGTAGGTGGGAGATTGAGGTTGAGGTCCTGGCTGCCACACTTCAGTTTGGCCCAGGCCAAATGCAGACATTTGGGAAGTGACCCAAGGTGTGGAATCTTAGTCTGCTGTTCAAGTGAGTTTTTTTAAAACCTTAAAGCATGGTACCAAGAAGTCACGCCCTCCCTTCTCTAGTCAATCTCAAGAGTCTCCCCCTCCCGCAACAGTTCTGCTTCCAAAAATTTGTCTCCCTCCTCTTGGGTGAAGGAATTCCACTGGGACCTACTCTGGTGTGTGACAATGGCCTTTGGTTAAACCCAAACATGCTCCTTCTAGCTCTGTGGACCTCTGCGTCTATTCCCTTCATGAGTTCATATGAGGGTGCTTCAAAAACTTCATGAAAAGAGGAATTAGCCTGTTTATTTTGGTACAAGAATCATTCATGGAATTATTTTCATAAAATTTTTGAAGACTCCTTGTATGCAAGGACACTGTTAGTCGGGACACAGTAGGTGCTTGTTACGGCTCAGCTCTCACACCCCATATCTGAATGCCTGGATTCAGGCTCTTGCTCTAGCGCCAGATTCCAGCTTGTTACTACAGGCTCCGCAGGAAAGGGGGTGACGTCAACAGCTGATGGGTCAAGGGGCTGGGTACCTGCTCCCAAGGTGGAATTGTATTTCTGGAGTCTGACTTTAGTCCACCCATTGAGAGAACCTGGGGGAGTGAACCAGGAGATGACAGCTCTTAAAGGATGAACAGGACGGGCTCCTCTCTGCCGGGTGGTGGTAGGTGCCCTGTAGACTTGGAATCAGAAGACAAAGACGCTGCTAGTGCAGCGTAGCTGTGGACAAGCCATTTCACACAGCTGCCATCTCCTTGCTTCTACACTGGGAGTGATGCCTACACCTCACATGGGTACAGGGCTGGTAGGAGAGCGAGTTCCTAGCACAGCATCTGGTACAAAACTCAGAGAACACTTGCTTCACTCTCAGCTTCCATGCATCCAGCCTAAAGAGGCCCAGTGTCCTGGTCATCCTCATCCTCCTAAGTCAGGTGGCTGGGCTGAAATGATTTCTGCCCAGGGTCTCCATCATTCAGAAGGAAGTGTGTTGTGGAAGGCTAGGTTTGCATTCGGGTAGGCACTCCTGCACTGTGTGAATGTGGAACCCTCTGCCTGTCAAATGCAACTGCTCCTGTATCATCTGCTTACCTGGAGGATTAGGTGAGATGTGTGGCAAGTGAATGAGAACATGTGAAAAATGTACCAATATGCTGTTGCCCGAATTAACGGTTATGACTCCAGACACAAGTGATGCTGCTGCCCCCGTGTGGACAGGAAGGCACACAGCGCAGCTGGCCAGATCTCAGATCCCTGGGAATGCACTTCTGTTCTGATGGAGCACGGGCTTCAGCAGGAAATATTTAGTGCTCATCTATACCAGAACTTGCCTGACATTAATGTGCTTGTTAAAATCCTGGTTGGTTCCGATGCAACAGAAGCTTCCCAGTGAAACTGATGCTACAGGTAATGGCCCACCTGAGTAAAAATGACCCTGCATAAAAAACAGGAACAACATAAACAACAGTCTACCATGTACCAGTTATCGAAGGAGCCTGTTAGCCTATTGTAACTTAGTCCTTAAGACCCTGTGCAGTAGGTGCCATTTTTTTTTCATATGAAGAAACTGATGCACAGAAAGTATATTGCTATGTCAAATGGCCAATGAAGGATGGGCACTGGATTCTAATGTAGACAGCTGGGCCTCTAGGAAAAGGGCTCTAACAGTGAGACCACCAAGGGAGAAGGTGGGGCTGTGGCAGGGAGGGAGCAAGGTTTCTGAGGTGACCTCAGTGAGAGCTGAGGCGGCGTAGGCTGGTGTGGCTGTGGGTCGGCGCAGAGGGGCAGGGGTTTAAGACTGAGGACAGTGTGGGGAGACTGACTGACTGGTTTGGGTGATGAGATGGTGGTGGTGGTGGCGGGACCTAGCACTATCAGAGCTGGGAAGCAAGAGAGAAGGACCAAGCTCCAGGGCCGGTGATTCTGGTGTTAGAAATGGTCACTATGAAGATGAGGCTTTTTGTCACCTGGGGAATAGATAGTAGATGGGTCTGCGTGTGTAGAGCCCAGGCAGTTCCCAGGCCGTCAGTCAACACAGCATGTAAGAGGAAGAGCTGGGGGAGCAACTGATGCCTCCCTGGCTCCCTGTAGTCAAGTCTGGGTGGCCCACAGACACAGGTGCTTTGATGCCCTCAGCAACTAAGTCCAACAAACCAGCCCCTGCCTCCTGGCAAATGGAACTCCACTGGGGCAGGTGTCATGGCACAGCAGGTGAAGCTGCCACTGGAAATTCCTGCATCCCACATGAGGGTACAGGTCTGAGTTCCAATTCCTTTGTAGGTGTTTTTGTTGGTTTGTTTGTATTTGAAAGAGCTGCAGAGAAAGATTTTCCATCCATTGGCTCACTCTCCAGATGGCTACACAAGCATCTCCCAGGTAGGTGGCAGGGGTCCAGACTGCCGCCCAGGCACCTGGGTCATCTTGCACTGCTCTTCCCAGGCCATTCACAGAGAGTTGGACTTGGACCGGTGCCCAGGAGATGCCAGCATCCTAAGTGGTGGCTATACTTGCAATGCCACCCCTTACTCATGTGCCTGGTAGGCAGCAGCAGATGGCCCAGGTACCTGGGCTCCCACAGTCCAGATGGAACTCTGGCCTCTCTCTGGGTGCAGTTCCTGCCTTTTGGTTTTATTCCAGCCTTGTAACCATTTGGGGAATAAGCAAATGGATGGACAATCTGTCCCTCTCATCACTCTGCTTTTCAATTAAATCTGAAAAAAAAAGACAACTCCACATAGAACAACCAGGCCAATAAAGGTTGGAAGGTATTTATTTAAACAAGGTCATAAATAACAAAGTAAATTCCAGACTCTAGACCGTGTAGCAGGACAAAGTAGGAAGTTGTTGATGGAAAGGGCTACACATCACTTAACACAGGCACAGAACAGATGGGCGTCAGGAGCCTGCCCTTCCTGCCCTAGGAAACTGTGCCTGGGCAGCAAGGGAGGCCAAGTGCTGTGACGAGGACAAAACTGGAAATGCTGGGCTGTAATGTTCTTTAATGTAGAGTGACAGAAACCACATACGGCCACAAAAGACTGTGGTCTAGAAGAGGCAAGCGGGCACTCCGCACACTTCCAGGAAATAACTGGAAATGGTTAAATTTATTAAAAAACAATTCCACAGGCTTCAGCCTGTGGCTGTACCTGGCAGGTGTCCAGGTAAGGGGGGTAAGACGGGGCTCTCCCAGTGGGAGGCCATGTGCTTGGACTTGCCGGCCTGACTTTCAGGCTGGTTTTCTATGATGCAATCCACAACCCCACCGTGTACCTAAAGATGGAACTCTGGGTCTTCTAAACCTGGAAGTGTTAAGACTGGCATAAAAAGGTACCTGACTGGTAATTTACTTCAAAGGGGAAAGTAAGAACCACCTTGTGTATTTTCTACCCAAGGATGAAGGGCAAGTCCATGCCAAGAACAGGCTCGAGGAATGGAGAGCCCTGAGTCCAGGGAGACATGTGGACTCAGGTGCACTGTCTGATGCTAGAAACAGGGTCCAGGGCTAGCAGCTCTGGAAGCTTCATCCTAGGCAGGACAGGGGTGGCCCCTGTACAGAGAGGAAGAAAGAGCTGGGGCCCCTGGAAATCAATGCTTTTGGCAGGAATACACAAAACAGGGATGCCCGTCTACAGGGGGCCGGTGTCACATGGCGGTCAGGATAGGATGGCGAGGAGACAGCGGCATCACAGTGGCCTCTGGTGCGACTTATTTACAACAGAGCTCGATGCTGAGGGACAGGAAGCTTAGCAGGTCACTAACAGCCAGGAAACACACTGTGAAGAGTGAAAAGAGAGGCAAATGTGACCATCACTAGCTTTCCCCTGCTTTCCAAGAAGCCTCCCTAACCAGCAAGGTGAAGATCTGTCCCACCTCAGACTAGACACAGTCTACTCCTACTACATACCCCACACTGTCCAGGGACATCAGTCATTGTTTAATAACAGGAATCGGGGGAAGGTACTGTGGCATAGCAGGTTAAACCACTGCTTGTGATGCTGGCATCTCTTAAGACCACCACTTTGAGTCTGATCCAGCTCCCTGGAATGCACCTGGGAGGGCAGTGGAAGAACAACAAAGTGCTAGGGTAGCTCCCATATGGGAGAACCAGACAGAGTTCCAGGTTCCTGGCCATTTGAAGAGCTAACCAGAGGATGAAAAAAATCTAACTCTGACTTCTAAATGAATAAAATACTCAATATAGCAAAAAGCTCTTTCAGGTGCCTACATATCATTTAGTGCCTGGGTTCAAATCCCAGCTCTGCTCCTACTTCCAGCTTCCTGCTACTGCATATACTGGGACACAGCAGGGGCTGCTGGCTCAAGTACCTGAGGTTCCTGTCTCCCATCTGGGAGACCCAGTAAGAGTTCCCAGCTTCCTGGCTTCAGCCTGGCCCTGCCTTAACTACTGCAAGCATCTGGGGGAATAAATTAGCAGATGGGTGATCTTTGTCTTTGTACTAGTCTTCCAAATAAATAAATGCTAAGAGAGAAAGTAAGTCCTCGTTGTTGATTCCTATATCCATCAGTGATCAGCAGCTAGAGGGATGCTCAGGCTGATGGTGTCACTTCTACAGCTCACAGCCCCAAGTCACTTGTTCAAACTCTGAGGGGTCGGGAACAGGCTCCCCTGAACAATCAGGAGGCTTTTGGATGGCAGAGTGACTCATCAGGCCATGGATACTCTGAGGACCCAGGGCCTTTTCTGCACTATAAACTAGTAGGCTCCATGAGGGAGACCAAAAGCCGTTTGGTTCAAATGCCTTCCCTCATCAAACAACCCAGCTCTGTCCATAAGAAGCTGAAGAGCTTCCCAGGAGAGGTATGGGTCTCCTGCTTCTCTAGACCACTGGTTCTTAACTTGTCTAGTTGCCTTCCTTGGCACACTGGATAAAATCTAGAGAGAGATGATTTGCAGTTGGTATAGGGTGGATGGAAGATAGGGATGTTGCCGAAAAGTCCACCAAAAGCGAAGAACCACCCATTTCAACAGCAACCCATGCTGAGGTTGGAAATCCTGCCTTGAGTTCCTAAGAGCCCAGCATTACTCAGCAGCAGTGGGGAGACCGCACAGAGGCTGATGTCTATCACAGCTGTCTCGAAGAGGGGCATCTCAACAAGAAATGCACACTGCTCCGAGGGCCAGCTGCAAAGTAACTGCACCTTTAGCAACAACCCACAGGACTAGAGCACAGAGAATTCACTAGTCACAGATTCTAGAAATACACATGCCAGGCTATCTATGGAGAAGGAAGAGGAGAGGGATTCAGAAAGGCTGGGCCTTGTGAGGCAAATACCTGCCTTTCAGAGTTGGCCAGCACTGCTGGAGATCTTAGGCCCTGATACTTACCACTGGAATCCTCCGATGGGCTCTGCAAACCTATGCCGGATCAAGAAAGTAGCAACAGCTTCAGCTACCTGAAAAAAAGAGATATTCCAGGCCATATAAAGGTTTGTGAGGGAAAATGAAGCTCTGTGATACCCTCATGAGTCCCACATATCTGGGCAGCCTGAAACCAAAAGATCTGGGTCCTGGCCAGGCCAGAGACTCTCATCATCCCTCAGGGGTGTTCCAGAAGCAAGGGGAATGGGCTTATTTATCCCAAACACCTTTTTACCCCACAGGAGGAGCTCATGTTAATTCCCACCTGTGACTGTAGATTAGGAAACAGCTCCTACTTCAGCCATCCCTTCTACCTGGCTTTGGGGGAGTAACAGATCTCAGTCATGGGGCCTTGGGACGAAATGAGAAGGAACCAATAGGTCCTTTGCTCACACATACAAACGACCATATGTAGCTGCCAGAGAGACGCTGGGAGGCTGGTGGCACTGCGTGAGCACAGGCCTCCCAGTAGCTGTGCAGGCAGCCTATGACAGCACCACAAGGTTTGTCCTATCTTCTGGGAGAGCAAAGGTCAGGTCTTTTCAGTCACCAACCACCAGGGTTCACCTTTTCAGGGGCATCCTCATGGACTGCGTGTCCACACTGGGGTAGGACCTGCATCTGGAACTTCCCTGGAAAGGAAACAAAGCCAAACCACCTCAGAAACTAACGCAGCCCTCCTGTGCCACTTCAATTCCTCACAAGGTCACTCCACAAGCCCAGGATGGCCCCATCCCAACCCACTCCCAAGGCCACACGGATTCCCATGTGTTTGAGGAAGACAGCAACACCTGTAACCTTGGGGCAGTCATTGCCCTTCACTTTTTCCTTCTGTAGCAACTTGGTACACACTGACTTTGAGGCAAGTCACATAGAAAGAGCCTGGCACTGTGGCACAGCAGGTAAAGTCCACTGTTTCAGATGCCTGCATCCTATAGTGGTACTGGTTTGTGTCCTGGCTGCTACATTTCCAATCCAACTTCCTGGGGAAAGTAGAAGTACCTGGGCTCCACAAGCCATATGGGATGTGGATGAAGCTTTTGGTTTTGACCTGGACCAGCTCTGGCCATCTGAGGCCATCTTGTGGAACCATGAAATTAAGCCCTATCTCTCTCCCAAATAAACAAGAAACAACATTTTTTTAAAAAAACAAGCAAAAAAAAAAAAAAAGCACATAGATGACACAGCTCCAGCTCCTCAGAGGATTTATAGGCCAGCAGGGAAATAAGAAACAAAACCCATTTTAACGCACAGCTTCTAGTTCCTGAGAATAAAACTGGAGACAGTGGGTGGCATGAGCAGAGGGAAAGGGCTTCACAATCCAGTAGGGATCCATGAAAATTTCCTCCACAGAAACAATGGCCTAACACAGAGGAGAGCGTGCTTGGGTTGGGATGGTATTTATTGTTGCAAATGAAAGCAGCTGAGCATGATGTTTGAGACTTTGCAACTCCCCAAATTTCTAATAGGCATTTAGCATAGCATCTTAACCAGACGCCCACATCCCACACTGGAGTACCTTTTAGCCAATGCTGACTCTGCAGCAGTGATAACATAGCCTGAGTCACTGGGTTTCTCCCACCCACGTGGAGCACCCTGACTGAACGGTCAGCTCCTGGTTTCAGCCCCAGCCATTGCAGGTGTACAGAAAGTGAACCAAAAGATACGTGCTATGTTTAAAAAAATAAAGGAACCCTTTAAAAAATTCTAATAATAAAAATTCTGATTAATATTCAAAATATTTTCTTTCTCAATATCAGTATTAATTAATCTTAAATATATTGTGTTATCTCAGTATTTTTCTACCCTATGCTTTCATTTGCTAAAGCTGTATCTAAAAGGCAGAAGATAACTATTTCTTTTTCTTCAGTACAAATGGCCTTCGAGAACCAGACACTGTCTATTTTAGTTGCTCCCTTTTATACAAGCCCCAAGTGAAAGATCGTCTTTTGAACTAAATATCCTCTTAGAATATTAACCAGCACATGATCCTGGCCCTTCCTCTGCCCACAGAAAGGGATCCAGGTGTATAATTTCTTGGTAACTTACCTTGCATCTGGCCAATGGTCAGATCTTTATCCAACCTATCAACACCTAGAACAAAAACAGAATCCAGTAAGTAGCTTCCTACAAAAGCCCCTGTGAAACAGGTTCTGCTATTGAAGCATTAAGTAAATGTTTCTACATTGCTGTAAGTGTGATGACATCCTCAATTCATACTAACATCAACTCTTACTCCAACAGGGTATATTCTCACCAGACGAATCACTCCATGGAGATTCCTCTGCAATCATTTTGCTTATTTAAACTGAACACAGTTTCTGAAAACAGGATTCTACTATTTTTTATTCTCGTTAATACTCAGAATAGCCTCACACCGCTGTATCGGGCTCTACAACAACCTGGGCTTCATTGGTACAAAAGTAGGCCAGAATTAGACCAGCTCAGACAGATGCCTATGCTAAAGTGGTTTAGGGAAGCACCCCTTCCCTAAGGGAAGGAGAGGGACACAGGTGAGTGAGGATGGTATTTCACATTAAAGTCAGTACCCATTTAGTTGGTAGTTCTAACAAAGTCATATTCAGATGACAGTATATCCACACAACTATGGAATGAACTCCACCCAGCATCCTTCATGTTTAAGTCCTAACCTCCCAGATAGGGCAAAACAAGATCATTAAGCAAAGTCATAAAGCCTGGGGCTCTGGCATGATAGGATTTGTGTCCTTCTGTGAAGACACCAGAGTGCTCTCTTGTATCCTCTACAAGCCACATGAAGTCACAGAGAAGGTGGCTGTTTGCAAACAAGAAAGAGCCCTTACCCAAACGCTATCATGTTGGCACCCTGATCTCAGACTCTCAGCCTCAAGGACTATGCAAAAAATAATTTCTGTTGTTTAAGCCACTTAATCTATGGCATTGTTACTGTCGCCAAACTCACTAACCCACCCCACCTCTACCACACATATACACTCACCAGCCAAGAGCAGCAATTTAGGAATAGGACAACTAAGAAAGAGATTGGATAAGCCTCGGAACCAGCCATCCCAGTACTTTTCTGTTTTTGCCAGTTCAATTCTCCAGGTGTACGGATGGTCTTTCTTGGTCTGGAGGAATAAGAGCAGGTTCTGAGTCTCTTGAGGGCAACCCCGTGAAGGAACAGGATAAAAACTAGGCCCTAGGAAAAGGACCATGAAGGAAACCAGCATTTTTAGGGATCCATCTGTATCCCAGATATTTTAATGCACATTTAATCTTTATAACAATCTTGCTGTACTAATTTCCATTCTTAAATAATTTGATATTTTCTTTTTTACTTGTTAGTTTCAGTGAAATTAGGAAACTGCAAGATCACAAAGCCAATAAATGGTAGAACCAACACCAAGCTTCTCTTACATTCCACTGTCAAAAAGGACATTCTGTCCAAGGATAACCCACTGCAATATAGAAAAAATGCTTACAATATAATGTTCAATGAAAAAAGCAGAGGACACGTTATCTAAATGGGATTACTACCCTACCCTAACCCCGCCCCCCCCCCCCCAAAAAAAGAAGCCGTAGTAAACTTATGGGAAGACCTGGATGGAAAAGCCAAAAGTAGGCTGGTAAATTGGTAGAGCATTTTCTCATGTTTTGATTTATGATAATGACAAATTGTTGCCACAAAAGTAATTTTTAAAAGGAAATGTGACCTAAATAAGAAAAATATCAACACCTGTCAAATACATAGGCATATAGCATGCAATCAAACATTAACTGGTGGCAGGTGTTGTAACACAGTGGGTTATGCTCCCACTTGGGACACTGACACTGCCTACTGGAATGTCTGAGATTGAGTCCCAGGTCTGTATCCAATCAGTTTCTTGCTAATGCATGTGGGAGGCAAGTATTTGAGTCCCTGTGACCCATGTGGGAAACCTGGATGGAATTTCTGGCTTTTGGCTTTAGCCTGGTCCAGTCCTGCAGTTGTAGGCATTTGGGAAGTAAACCAGTAGACAGATTTATCTCACTGTCCCTTTGCCATGCACTTTAAAAATTATCTGAAAAAATGAATCTTTGCTATGGATTAGAAATTAGTTTGAGCAATCTCCTGAAGGCCCACCTGTGGAAAGGCAGAGTGACAGGAAGAGAGGGAGCGACAAAGATGGAGGAGAGAGAGAAAGAAGGACATGGGGCAACAAGACCGCCCATCTGCAGGTTCGCTCCCCAGACGCCCTCAACAGCCTGGGCTGGGCCAGCCTGGAGCCAGAAGCCTCGAATTCTATCTGGATCTCCCATGGTGGCAAGGGCCCAGCACTTCAGTCATTATCTGCTGTCTTCACTGGTGCACGAGCAGGATGGAGTTGGAAGCAGAGGAGCCAGGACTTAAACCAACATTCAAAGATCAGATTTGGGAATCCTAAGTGGTGACTTAACTAGTTGTGCCATAATACCCAGCCCTCTTAAAAAATCTAAACAAAAATAAGCTTTTCCATTCAAAGACATAGACACACAGATTTTCTATCCCCTAGTCTTTTCCCAAATGCCTGTAACATTTGGGACAAAGCCCAGAATATGACACTCATTCTAGATTTCTGATTTCCCACATGGAAGGAACCCAAATACCTGAGCCATCGTCTGCTGCCTCCCAGGTGTACATCAGCAGGGAGTGGAATCGGAAGCAGAATCAGGACTCAATTAGCACCTAACCCGGGTGGGGAACCCTTTTCCTGTCATGGGCCATTAGGTATTTATATCACTATTCATAGGCCATAGAAAACGATAAAAAATCAGCCTGCTTTGCTTCTACCTGTACTTGTGGCTGACCTGGCAGAGCCAGACCAGATGATTCCATGGCCCTTACCACGAGGCCAAACGCTTTCCCATTTTTAAATAATTGCTAATGTTCTGCTAATAATTAAGAGTGGCAACTTGAGCCAATCATGGTTTCTAGAAGTTAGCCCAAAGGGGTATCTTTAGGTCACGGAGGATGTACTCTCAGAAGGTAGTGCTTATGAAAGGGCTGGTTAGAAAAGCTGAACGGTGTTTCTGATTCTCAGCTCCTGAAGAGATCATCCTCCATAAACCTCTTGCCATCATCCAGCCTCTTTAGATGGCCAAACTAATGAGCTGTAAACCGTTAAACCATTAGGAAAAAACAATCTTTTTTTTTCATAAGTTAACTTCTTAGGTGTACGTTAGTGACATAAAACTGATCAATGTAATTCCTAATACTTTCCTGCATCACTGAAATATGTGAAATATTGTAGCTTGAATAATAATTGGAATATTATATCAGCCAGAACATGAAAATCCAGAAATATGAGACAACAATATTTTGTCGTAAAGGTCACTGGATGGTTACCACACCCATACTATAAACATGATCTACAGATTCAATACTATTTTTAAAAAAGATTTATTTGTTTTTATTGGAAAGTCAGATTTACAAGTGAAGAAGAGACAAAAAGAAAGAACTTTCACCCACTGGCTCACTCCCGGAGCAGCCACAATGGTCAGTGCTAAGCCAATCTGAAGCCAGGAGCCAGGCGCTTCTTCCAGGTCTCCCATGTGGTTTCAGGGTTCCAAGGCTCTGGGTCATCCTCGTCTGCTTTCCCAGGCCACAAGCAGGAAGGTGGAAGGGAAGTGGAGCAGTAGGGATACAACCCAGCACGCATATGGGATCCTCCCCCTCAGCACCCACATGGGATCCTGGATGTGCAAGGTAAGGATTGTAGCCATTAGACTACCATGACGGGCTCTCAAGTTAATTTGTCAAAATTCTAATGACAGGACAGGCCTTTGGTCTAGCAGTTAAGATATCCCATATCTAGGCCAAGTGTAGCAGCCTAGTGGCTAAAGTCTTTACCATGCATGTGTTGGGATTCCATATAGGCACCTGTTCATCCCCCAGCTGCTTCACTTCCCTTCTAGCTCCCTGCTTGTGGCCTGGGAAAGCAGTGGAGGATGGCCCAAAGCCTTGGGACCCTGCACCAGCGTGGCAAACCCAGAAGAAGCTCCTGACTTCAGATCTGCTTGGTTCCGGCCACTGTGCATTGGGGAGTGAACCAATGGATGGAGGATCTTTCTGTCTCTCCTTCCCTTTGTAAACCTGACTTTCCAATAGAAATAAATCTTTTTAAAAAAAAAGATACCCCATATAATACTAGTTTCATTCCTTGAAAATACGATTTGTTTGTCTGAGATATAATTCTTAGGCCAGTGCTGTTGTGCAGTGAGTAAAGCCATTGCCTGCAGCAGTGGAATCCCATATGGGTGCTAGTTAGAGTCCCAGATGCTCTACTTCTGATCCAGCTTCCTGCTAATGTACCTGGGAAAGCAGCAGCAGATGGCCCAGGTCCTTGGACCCCTGACTCCCACGGGAGATCTGGTTTCAGACTAGCCCCAGTACCAGCTTAGCAATCATTTAGTAAGCGAGCCAGTGGATCCAAGACCTGCCTCTATCCCTCTATCTAACTCTGCCTTTCAGAGTAACAGTGCAAGGCAAGAAATTTAGCTGCTAGGCTACGGTGCTGGGTCCAATAGCTAAAATGTTTAAGAATGTGTGTCATGTAGACTTTAATGTCACACTACAGATAGACTGATAAAATGTATCAGAAAGCTTCCCCAAGGAAATAAACTCTGAAGATGGCTAAGATTTAGGTGTGCTGAGAAAAGACTGGTAGGGGGCCTGGTGCAGTAGCCTAGTGGCTAAAGTTCTCACTTTGCACACTCTGGGATCCCATATGGGCGCCAGTTCTACCCCTGGCAGCCCCGTTTCCCATCCAGCTCCCTGCCTCTGGCCTGGGAAAACAGTCGAAGACAAACTAAAGCCTTGGGACCCTGCACCCGTGTGGGAGACCTGGAAGTAATTCCTAGCTGCAGGCTTCAGATCAGCTCAGCTCTGTTGCCATTGTGCCACTTTGCGGAGTGAACCAGCAGGCAGAGGTTAAGTTCTTCCTCTCTATTTCTCCTCCTCTCTGTAAATCTGACTCTCCAAAAAAAAAATAAATCTTAAAAAAATTATATATAAAGACTGATAGAAAACAATTTTTGCTGAGAGAAAATATAGGAACAGGTTTACAGAGATAAGAAGAAACCTGGTGAGAAAACAATGTTTTTTTAAGTTCCAGTTATTCAGAGCTACGAACAGTGCTTTCCATCTTATGGCCAGTCTTAAAATAGTTTCTGCCCTCCAAAGTAATGGTGGACAAAATGCCATCTTCCTTCCTTTTTGCACTCGCACACCTTGAACCAGTTCCTCCCCGTCTTGCCACGAACGCAGGCCTTTACCCACCTCCATGTCGTCTTCCTTTTTCCTCTTATTTACTGACTCACTTCCTTCTTCATCTTCTTCTTCTTCCTCTATAATTCCTTCCACTATAGACTTTGAGCCTTCTGGACTTGTAATTCCTTCACATCTAGGTTTTTAAAAAAAGTTTCTATCACATACTTCTCCTCTATATGCAAATAACTTCAGAGATAGTCATACTTAATGATCTTCGGTAATCAAATGTTAGCTCAAACTTCATAACGCTCCTGGGAAGACATGATGTAAAAATGGGCATTTCCAGGACTATGGAAAGGATTGCAAATCTATGGTTACTTTGTAAGAGCTGATTTCCAGTTCTTGCATCAATACTGACCCTCAGAAAAGAAACATCCATTTCCTGGGCATGGCAACAAGAGTCTTACAGTCTTTCATATAGTCTTTACAAGAATCCTAGGGAGTAATTCAGACGGTTAAGAAACCTGCCCAGGACCACTTACTCATGGGTGTTAAAACAGGCTGGAATGTAAATCGAGGATCAACAACCCTGAGGCCGGTGCTTGTTCCCTGCCTGCAGTACAACAGAGCTCCTGTTAACCTACTTGTTAACCAGTTGACAAAAACTAGTAATTACAACAAGCATGGCCAGCTGAACCCTGCAGATTAACCTATCTGATCCAATCAATTAATGTTTCTTCTCTGAAAAAAATTGTATCTGTTATGTAATTAGGTGGAAAATTACTATATGAACAGCTAGTAGCATGATTCCTTTCAGAGAAGACTCAATGGGGAAATACATTAGCAAAAGCTAATGGTTAAAATCTCAAGGGCCTAGGGTAATTTCATCCGCTACTCTGCAATGCTGAGAACTTTGCCCTTGCGGATGAAGGAGAAAAAAACACACAAGATGAAGAAACTGGGTTGGGGCCAGCATGGTGGTGCAGCAAGCTAATCCTCTACCTACAAGGCCAACCAACATTCCTCTTGGGCCCTGGTTCATGTCCTGGCTGCTCCACTTCTGATCCAGCTCTCTGCTAATGGCCTGGGAAAGTATCAGACCTAAGTCCGCAGGACCCAGCACGCACTCGGGAGATCTAGAAGAAGCTCCTGGCTCCCAGCTTCAGATCATTTCAGTTCTGGCTGTTGCAACCATTTGGGCAGTAAACCAGTGAATGGAAGACCTTTTCTTTCTGTCTCTCCTCTAAAATATGCCTTTTAAATAAAAATAAGTAAAAATCTTTAAATAAATAAGCAGATTTTGAACAACAGTTATGCCACCTCTTCTGTCTTCCTTACTAAAAATTACCTGGATGGTCACAATTGTTTTCTAAGTGGTGCTTTGCTACAAAACTTGAGATGCCAAGTTTTATCAGGTGTTGGCATCCCACATAGACACCCAGTTGAGTCCCAGCTGCTTTGCTTCTGATCCAGCTTCCTACTAATGCTAATGGCCTGGGAAATCAATACTCACACGGGAAATCTAGAAGCTCCCAGTCATTGCAGTCACTTGGGGAGTGAAACAGTGGATGGAAGGGGAGTGGTGTGTGTGTCTAACTCTACTTTCAAATAGGTAAATATTAAAAAACAAATTATCCAGGGGACCTGTACAATGGCTTAACTGGGTTAATCCTCCACCTACCAGCTGGCATCCCATATGAGCGCTGGTTCATTTCCTGCTCCACTTCCCAACCAGCTCCCTGCTTGTGGCCTGGCAATGCAGCAGGGGATGGCCAAACCCTTGAGACCCTGCACCCATGTAGGAGATCTGGAAGAAGTTCCTATCTCCTAGATTCCAATCAGCTCAGCTCCAGCCACTTTTATCTCGCTCTCTCTGTAAATTGCCTTTCCAATGGAAAAGAAATCAATCTTAAAAAAAAAAAAAACTTAGGGCCCAGCACAGTAGCCTAGCAAATTAAGTCCTGACCTTGCACACCCTGTATCCCATTTCCGTGAAGGTTCTAGTTCCGGTTGGCCCAGTTTCCTATCTAGCTCCCTGCCTGTGGCCTTGGAAAGCAGTGAAGAACAGCCCAAAGCCTTAGTACCATGTACCGTGTGGGAGACCCAAAGAGGCTCCAGGCTTCAGATTGGCTCAGCTTCGGCCATTAGGGCTGCTTGGGGAATGTAGCAACAGATGGAAGATCATCCTCTCTGTCTTTCCTCCTCTCTGTATATCCGACTTGCCAATAAAATAATAAACTAAATCTTTAAAAGAAAAAAACCTTCACATTCTATCTTGCTGATACCACTAAAACTATAGTATTGGGCATAAAACTTTTAATATAGGACTTGAAATAAAATACACAGGAGCTTGAACTCAGCTCTGTCATCCACCATATATGAAGTTCCGGGAAAGTCATTTACTTCATGGAATTTCCAATTTCCTCATTGATACCACAGTACTTTTTTTGGTAGAGGTATTATAGGTATTAAATGAGGTCATGCAATTTAATTAATGAATCATGGTAATAAACATCAATGGCTACTGACAATTAACAGGGCTGGGGAGGAGCAGGCACTTGGCCTAGTGATTAAGCAACTGCTTAGGACACCTGCACCCCTTAGGAGAACGCTTGGGTTTGAGCTCCACCTCTATTCTTCCTGCTAACATGGACCCTGGAAAGCAGGAAGCAATGGTTCAAGTGGTTGGTTCCTCGTCACCTATAAGGGGAGCCCAGGCTGAGCTTCCTGGCTCCTGGCCAAGCCCCAGCTGTTGCAGACATTTCTGAACCACAGAAAAGAAGGAAGCTCTCTATCTCGCTTTCTATCTCTGTTTAAAAAAGAAAAAAAGAGGGCCTAGTGGCTAAAAGTCCTCACCATGAACACACCGGGATCCCATATGGGTGCAGGTTCTAATCCCAGCAGCCCCACCTCCCATCCAGCTCTCTGCCTGTGACCTGGGAAAGCAGTCCAGGATGGCCCAAAGCCTTGGAACCCTGCACCCGTGTGGGAGACCTGCAGGAGGTGTCTGGCTCTTGGCTTCCGATTGGTATAGCACTGGTCATTGTGGTCACTTGGGGAGTGAATCATCGGACAGAAGATCTTCCTCTCTGTCTCTCCTCCTCTCTGAATATCTGACTTTGCAATAAAAATAAATACATCTTTAAAAAAAAAAAAAAGAAAAAGAAAAAAGAAAACCAGATATTCTGAGTTTCCTGGTGACAATATTTAGCTATAAACTACTTTTTATAAACCAACCAAAAACATCAACACAGTCTGAACTTGACCACCTTTTCCTCATCTAACTAGCAATTTATAGACAATGCAGGAAGTGAAGAAATATATTAGGATTTAATTAACAAATCCAGGTTTTGGAAAATCTATGAGCAAACATAAGGTTTCCTCAACAAATAAATTGTAAGGAAACAGAGATAAAGAGTAGAACATGTAGACCAAATGATACTAATGATTTATATTAACTAATTAGTATTTATTAGTTCTACAAATTATTTGACATAAGCAGAAATGAACACTAGTTAAATTTGTTATTAAAGAACTCAATTTTTAAAAGTGCTAATATTCTATGATTATGCCCTTATTTTCTCTGAAGTTTTCAGAGAAAATCATATTTGTTTGAAATTTGTTTCACAATATTTGTGCTTAGGGGAAATAAACAGGTGCACAGAAGAAAGAAAACTGGACATGAGTTAAGTGGACAACAGTTACTCTGGGATTTGCTGTATTTTACTTTGACATGTTTTAAAACGTTCAAAACATAACATTTTTTATAATAAAATAGTAAAACAGAATGCCTTGTACAGTGGTTGGCAAGTAATAGGCATTCAATATTCTATTATTCTTTTACCTCTCACACTCCATTTTCTCAATTACCTGAAATTTATGTTCTTACTACCAGCAATATTGAAGAACCATAAAATTCTAGCAAGAAAAATGACCTGAGCTGCATAATCTTACCTTACTCAGGATCTTGCCTTCACTCTAGCAATGCCACTTTTTACCATTTCCTTAGAAGGAATCTGTCAGCAGAATGAAACTGTAACTGCAAATATTCAGGTGGACACTTAATTTTTAAAATTTACCCTCTGGAATGCTTCACCTCTAAGATCTAGAATTGTGCAAATGTAATTCAGTATTACATAAAAGACTAACATAAGCATCTTTGGGATTTCAGTAGAAAGAGAAGTGGGGGGAAGTGCCCAGAATGAATCTATGTGGCTGGTCTAGTTGTGCTCAACTATGAAATGACCTAAAGTGATGAAGGCATTTACCAGGATGACAGAAGAGTTATGCGACAAAAGCTGTGATTAGTAATTCCCTCACAATGCTTCAATGTTTAGTAAGCACAGAAGGGAAAATAAGACGTACTGTTTGACTTGGCCAACCATGGAGACACGAGCAGATTCCAGATTTCGGATTTGGCCACTCTTCACACTAGGAGAAAAAAAAAAAAAAAAGAACAGAGAAAGCAAGTTATTGATCATCCATGTTCTCATGTCATTCAAATCAAATAATTTTTCAGATTCTGTGGAATATAACAAAAACTTATGAACACCAATTTTGCTAATGATAGTGATCGTCACTCTGTATCATCAAGGAGTATAATCAGGTAGAAAAATCAAGTCACACACCACAGCCATTTCAGCTCTGCACATACTTACCAACAAGGTGCTAAGTGTCAGGCCTGTGCTCAGGGAGCAGGAAGCTCAGTAGGAATAGTGTCACAGATAATGTTTGTATAATAAGGTAAGCTTCAAAGGAAGTGTGCATTTTGAATTAAATGGTTAAAGAAAGCTTTCAGATAACATGATCTTATGCAGAAAACGACCAAAAGATTCCACTGAGAGTACTGGGACCCCTAAGTGAGAGAGTTTGGTATAGCTGCATGATATAAAATGTACACAGAGAAGCCAGGGCAGTGACCCAGCAGGCTAATCCTCTACCTACTAGAGCCAGCATCCTGTATGGGCACTGGCTCGTGTCCTGGCTGGTTCCATGCCCCACCTAGCTCACTGCTTGTGGCCTGGGAAAGCAGCATAGGACAGCCCAAAGCCTTGGGACTCTACACCCACATGGGAGACCCGGAAAAGCTCCTACCACCTGGCTTCAAATTGACTCAGCTCCAGCCAATGCAGTCATTTGAGCAGTGAATCAGTGGATGGAAGATCTTTCTGTCTATCCTCTGTAAGTCTGCCTTTCAAATGAAAATAAATATTTGCTTTTAAAAAAATTGTATACAAAACTAAGTACCCTTTGTACACACAAATAATGCCAAGCTTGAAAAAGGACTTGTAAGATCAATCCTATTCATAACTACAGAAAAGCTTAAAATACCCTGAAATAAATGTGACCAATATGAAAGATCTTTATAATGAAATGTATAGAATATTCACAAAATAGAAGATGATAAAAATGGAAAAATCTTTCATATTCATGAACTAAAAGAACTAATAGCATCAAAATGTCTATACTACCCAAAACAATTTACAATTTCAACATGATCCCAAACAAAATACCAAGGACACTGTTCTCAGATCTAAAAACAATGATGTTAATATTCATATGGAAGCACAAGAGGCCTCAAACAGCTAAAGGAATCATAAACAACAAGAATAAAGCTGGTAACATCACAATTATCTGACTTTAAGACATACTACAGGGTTCTTTGAATCAAAACAGCCTGGAAGCACTGAGCACAGTAGCTTAGGGCTAAAGTCGTTGCTTTGCACACCTGGGATCCCATCTGGGCACTGGTTCACATCCTGGTTGTTCCACTTTTCTTCTAGATCCCTGTTTGTGCCCTGGGACGGCAGTAAAGGATGGTTCAAGGCTTTGGGACCCTGCACCCATGTGGGAGACCCAAAGGAAGCTCCTGGCTCATGGCTTTGGATTGGCTCAGCTCCGGCCACTGCAGCCACTCGGGGAGTAAGTCAGTGGATGGAAGATCCTTCTCTTTGTCTCTCCTTCCCTCTCTGGATCTGCCTTTCTAATAAAAATAAATAAATCTTAAAAAAGAAAACAGCCTGGTACTGGTAAAAAATAAATAAATAAATAAACACCCAAACCAAGGAACAGAACTCCAGAAATTAATGCACTCATCTATAACCAACAACTCTTCAACAAACAGGGTGCAAAAACTGGATCTACACATGCAGAAGAATGAAACACTCCCCTACCTTATCGCTTACAAAAAATAAATTCAAAATGGATCAAGGATCTAAAACTGCTACCTGATAGCATCAAATTACAAGAGGAAAACATCAGGGACGCTCTACAACACATTAGCATAGGCAAAAACTTCTTGGATAAGAACCCAGAGGCATAGGCAATAAATATAAAAATAGATAAATGGAATTATATCAAGCTAAGAAGCTCATGTATTGCAAAGGAAACACTCAAAAAAGTGAAGAGGCAATCAGCAAAATGGGAGAAAACATTTTCAAACTATGTAACTATTAAAGGGTATCCAGGATCTATAAAGAGCTCAAGAAACTCAACAGCAACAAAACAATCCAGTTAAGAAATGAGCAAAGGAAACGAACAGGTGTTTTTCAGAAGATGAAACACAAATAGCCAACAGACATGAAAAGATGCTTAGGATCTCTATCAGGAAAATGTAAAAAGAAAAACAGTAACAACACAAAACCCCCACAATGAGGTTTTCACCTCACTCCAGTTAGAATGGCTATCATCCAAAATCAACAGTAAATTCAGACAAGGATCTGTGGGAGAAGGTAACCTAATCAATTGTTGGTGGGAATGTAAACTAGTACTATCATTATGGAAGATTCCTCAATTGTGACTTAGCCATCCCACTACTGGCAATTCACCCAAATGAAATGAAACCAGCACATGGAAGAGTTATCTGTAACCTCAAACTTACTGCATTTCAATTCAGAATAACTAGGGTATGGAATCAACCCAGATGTCCAGCAAGTGATGACTGGATGAAGAAAGTTGGTATGTATATACACCATGGAATACTACCTTACTCAGCCATAAAAAAAGAAATCCTTTTACAACAAAATGGTTGCTACTAGAAATCACAATGCTTAGTGAAATAAGCTAGTCTCAAAACGATAAATGTTTTCTGATATGAAAAAGTTAATATAGATTACAAATATGTATAGGAATGAAATGCATATTTAATGATATCATTATTGGTTTTAGGTTTGTTTATATCCTGTGGAACTGTAGTCTTCTTACTTCTTACTTGCTGTATATTATGGTTAGTGGTGAATTAAGCCTTTGACTACAGAGTGTATTAAAATGTCTTTGCAAGAACTCAGTAAGCAAGACATGGCAGAGAAGAGAATGGGGGAAGAAGGCAGTGAGGGAAGTGTGCTGGTCTTCATGGAACAAAAATTTATTAAAAAGAAAGCTTCATAGAAGTTCTGCCTGGACTAGGAACTAAAAACAATAAGTTAATTAGAAAATGAGAGAGGGCAGGAGGCACACCATGAACAAAGGCAGCAGAAGGATGACTTTTAGAGACCCAAGTACAAGCCAATGGGGGAGTGTGATAGAACAAGATAGTAACCAGGACAGAGTCTCCATAGAGGTCCAGCATGCTGTTAAGGTTTGGATGTGTTTCCCAAAGTTCACATGTTAGAAACACAATTCCCAATACAACAGCATCAAGAACCTTTAAGAAGAGATCAGGTCAGGACTGGACCTGCTCTCACTAATGGAGTAACATCCTTACTGAAAAAGCAGGTTCATTAGCAAAGTGAGTTTGGCTCTCTGTTCAGTCTCTACATGATGCTCTCTAACTGACGCCATGCTATGGGATACAGGTAGAAGGCTCTCACCAGATGTAAGCCACTTGTTTGGGGCTTCCCAATCTCCAGAACCATGAGTCAAATAAAAGTTGTTAATAAAGTACCAGTCTGTGGCTATGTTTAAGCTGCACAGAATTAAGACACAAACATGCCATGCCACATGGCTTAGATTACAACATACATTTATCTACTAAAGAACATTAAAGGGCAAAGCAAAGTGAAAGCATATCTTGAGGGAACAGGAAACCAGTGCTGGAAGGAAGATGCCAAGAAAGCATATATTTTAGACAACAGTTTTAGCTTAAAAATCATGCAAAATCTTAAAAGTCATCCTGTTAGACAGCAGCATTTTTACTTTACAAGTAAAACAGAAATAATCAGAACTATTCAGAACTATTTATCTTTTTTTTTTAAAAGATTTATTTATTTTTGTTGGAAAGGCAGATACAGAGAGGAAGATCTTCTACCTGATGACTCACTCCCCAAGAGGCCGCAATGGCCGGAGCTAAGTCAATCTGATGCCAGGAGCCGAGAGTTTCTTCCGGGTCTCCCCTGTGGGTGCAGGGTCCCAAGACTTTGGGCGGTCCTCAACTGCTTTCCCAGGCCACAAGCAGGGAGCTGGATGGGAAGTGGAGCTGCCGGGATTAGAACCGGTGCCCATATGAGGCCCCGGGGCAATCAAGGCAAGGACCTTATCATTACGCTATCATGCCGGGCCCCGGATCTTCCTCCTCTTCACAAGCTCAAAATGTTGTGAAATATCTAGGCTAAGTTCTTGAACCTCTTCCTTAACAACACCAAATCACTAGGTGACTGCATCCAATCTCTCAGCTTTAAATATAATCTACATTATGATTCTCCAGTTTATCTCCAGCTCAAACTCCTCTGCCTAATCTTTATAACTGCCTATTTTATGATTCCATTTAGGAATGTAACAAGCATTTCAGTTTATTCAAATAAAATTCCTAATTCCCTGCCACTTATTCGCTATCAAATCTACTTCTCTGTCCCTACCAGTCACTCGTTAAAAATCTATAAGTTAGCAGTGAGTTTCCTTCTTGCTCCCTCTTTCTGGGGTAGTCTAGGAGGCACTGAATTGTAACAAATTGGACCCAAGATAATTGAGCAAAGTCTGAAATGTTTATATTAATTAAAAAATATAGTATTTACATAAATATTTCTCTACCTGCCACTATATTTAAATTTGAAGTTTAACATTCATGCCTTTAAACTTGGTGTTGAAGCTAAAAAAATGAAAGCTACAATCTAACATTTAAGATAAAGACACCATAGATATGCAGGTTACCTCCATTCAATAGCATTCTCCAAAGATTTGAAGGTTTTAGGACGGCCACGTAAGAAATTCTGCATGCTATTAAGTGCATCCATGGCTGTACCTAGACGATAAACAAATATTTCAATCACCTTTTATTCTGAGCATTTACATTTACTAAGTCAATTCTGCATGTCTGTCTCTAATGACAAAATAATCAGTGATGCTTAGAGTAAAATAGAGATGTAGTTCTAAGACAATGCCAAAAATTAATGTGACAGTCTTCAAAATGATCCTCAATAATCTGCATTCTGGCATCACTTTCTTCTGAGGGCCTTCACCACAGAGCCAACAACGTGACATCAATGGCAGCTCAGAGGAGGATGTCAAGTGCCTTGTCAGAGGATGGAAAGCAGAACAGATTGGAAAACTGCCCTGGCCAACCTCTGTAACAAGTATCTGGGTCTATGGATGCACACTGTGATGGCCTTGTTCAGCCAACAGACTTGGAAAGGATTTTCTCAACCCTGGTGCAAGAAGGCCGACAATGTCTCAGAACTACCCAAACTACTCAAGTAACACCTTCAGGACACTCTCTCCCACATGGCGTCTCTTAGGCATCATCAAATGACTGCACTCATCCCCAGGTGCCATTGCAAGGAATGGTCCCTCCTCTCCCCGCTGCTGCAGACACAGGAGAAAGAAAAAACTGAAACATTTGTCCCACACAACCTTCCTTCATACCTGACCCTCCCCACCACAATCAGAGGGCATGCATCACTCTCAACTATGTAAACTACACTACAAATAAAATTTAAAAAATTTTAAGACATGGTAGCTCTTTCTAAATGATTAAATGAACTATGAAACAATACATAGTTGAAATATTGGACAACCATTAAAAAGATGGTAACAGAGTTTCTAGCAACATGGAAAAATTACTATATAACCTAAATTTGTAAAAAATACAAAGATACTTCAAGTAAAAGACAAAAAAAAATTAAAACATAATAATATCTCATGTCTCTTGTAAGTCAATGCTTCTAATTTATTCAGTATAAAGAAAACTTACCTTCCACAACATCAATCATGCACAGACCAAGGAGACTTGGCACAAGGTTGGACGATGCTGTATGGACAGCAATGGCACCACCCATGCTATGTCCAATCAGCATAATTGGAGGAGGGAGGTCCCCATACATGGCTTCAACCACATTACCAACATCTCTGCATAGAGAAAGGAGAAAAAGTTGGGATTGCTGACAACAACACAAAACTGGTTTCCCTTCCCAGTTACTTTCTTTAGTCCTTAACAAACGGTCCTGGCTAACTGTGAAGGTATACTGGGTCATGTTATAAATATACCTATGTAAACCTAACACATCTACTATTACAGGTAGACACAGATATATACAGATAGCAACACACTTAGCCTTCACATTAATTGCAGGCTAAATAAAAATAAACATAACTCTCTGATTTTCCTTTACATCACATTTGTCCCATTCTACACATTTAGTACAATTGCATAAAAACATACCTTTATTTTTAACTGAAGCTGGAAACCCTAAAGAAATCATTTGGTTGCTCTATGCCCAAGTTTTCCTATCTAAAAGACCGAAAACCTTTTTAAAGGTTTAAAAATAAACCTTTTTAAAGGTTTATTTGTTTGGAAGTCAGAGTTACAGACAGATGGAGACAATCTCCCATCTGCTGGTTCACTCCAGGAGACCCAACAGCCAGTGGTGGACCAGGCAAAAGCCAGGAGCCAGAAGCATCACCCAGGTCCCCCACATGGGTGGCAAGGTCCCAAAAACATGAGCCATCTTCCACGGCTTTTCACAGGCCATTAGCAAGGAGCTGGATCAGAACTGGAGCAACAAGAAAAGGATTCAACAAGCACTATACTAAACACTGACTGAGAAAAATAATCTTTGCATTATAATGCAGTGAAATTTAGAGATACAAAATGAATCTCAACCTCAGTTTACCTTTTACTATGTGATCTTGGCTTATGAAATACCAAGTTTTGATATGTATAAAACAAAGGTAATAATATTACTTACTAAATTGCTTTGATAATTAACTGAAAAGTGAATGTGAAGCTACTCTGAAAGAGCAACACACTATAAAAATGTTAGCTGCTTTTACATTTATTCATGCCTAATTGTTGGAATGACAAACCTTTAGTGCTATAAGAAACGAGAAAAGTGTCCCGAGCTTATTTTTACTGACTTTTGATCCGGTTTTCAATTATAAATGATCTATTTAACAAACTCAAACTTTAAGTTGGGGTGGGGAACATCCACCTTGTGGCCCATATAAGGCCCTGAAATTATTTGGTCTGGCCTGACCAAAGCAATATCAGGAAGGATATGGAATTCAATAATCTTTGGTAAGGCAATTTGTTTCTAAAGGTTGATTTATTTGAAAGACAACATTTCTACCGAGGGAGAGTGGAGAAAAGAGACAAAAGTTTTCCATCAGCTGATTCACTCTCCAAATGGCTACAACAAGCAGTCCTGGGCCAATGCAAAACCAGGGGCTTCTTTGGGATCTCCCACATGGGTGAAGGGACCCAAATATTTAGGCCATCTTCTGTTCTCCCAAGTACAACAGCAAGTAGTTGCATAGGAAGTAGAGCACCTGGACTCAGATCAGAGTTCATCCAGTACAATGGCATTCCAGGTGCTATGCCACTATGCTGGCCCCAAGCCGACTAATTTTTTAAGTTGATAATTTAGCATGGCCTGTGAATTATGTTACAGACAAATGGGGGCTGGCACTTTTTATTTAACTGGCTAATTGTCTACCTTCATGTACCATCAACCCATTTGGGCACCTGGTCCACATCCCACCCAGTTCTCTGCCTGTGGGAAAACACCAGCGGATGGCCCAAGTACTTGGGCACCTACACATCCAAGTGGGAGATCTGGAAGACGTTTCTGATTCCAGGCTTTGGATCAGCTCTACTCCAGCCATTGCAGCCATTTGGGGAATGAACCAGCAGATAGAAGATCTCTGTCTTTCCTCCTCTCTGTAAATCTGTCTTTCTAATTAGAATAAACAAAGATCCAGCTGTCCCACTTCTGATATAACTCCTTACTAACGTGCCTGGGAAAACAGCAGAAGATGGCCCACATGTTATGGCCCCTGCACCCACATGGGAGACCTGGAAAAAGCTCCAGGTTCCTAGCTTCAGGATGGTACACCATGGCCATTTGGGGAACGAACCAGCAGACAAAAACTGATCTGTCTCTCCCTCTCTCTCTGCAACTATGCCTTTCAAATGATTTTTCTTAAAAAGGCTTCAAGATTAAATAATATGGAGAAACAGAACAGAAACAAAATTTTCTGTGCATATTACTGTCCAACAATCACACCAGGAGATAAAATTATTTGTAATAGTGATGGGAGTCATGCAATGCAACAACCAACACTTGCTACTTACTTTGCCATTGTTTCTGCAGACAAGTCTTCAGAATTCTTCACTTTGGTTTCACCTAAAAAAGAAATGAAGAAATTAAATTCTCAAGGATAAGAATTACAAAAGCAATAGTATGCCTGAAAAAATCTCCTCTTTGTCCAATGAAATTTATACTTTTAGATGGTGGACTTAGCAATAATTTTCTTCATCACAGACAAGGCTATAGTCAAACACTCTCATAGTTCCAACAGATTTTGCCTCCCCCAAATCATGCAGATGTTTAAATCCAGAAGTTATGCTAACAGCTAATGAATCAATGTTAATGAATTAAGGATGGAGAATTGATTTAATTATGACATCTGGGAGATGGTCCTAAGAGAATGTCTTTAGGTCACTGAGATTTTGCCCTTAGCAGACAATTCTGGAGAAGTCCAATTGTGGACAATTCTGGTTACACAAACTGAGTTCCAATTTATACAGTCACCAGGCCTCTGTGTTTCTCATGAGAACCTACCTTAGCACATATTCTGCCACCCTCATCAGATGCCATACTGATGGGGCCACCCAATCACAGATTGTGAGCCTCTGAAGCATAAACCAAAATTAACCTCTTCCTTCATAAGATGATCCTTTTGAGTATTTCAACTGAAGTAAAGCTACTGCACACCCTAAGAATAATTACAGTAGCCTAATAAAAATATACTCAAATTCCTTACACATTACCAGCCTAAAAATTAAAGGATAAAACACACACATATACATTCATAAAAAAACTGGAAACTAGGACTTGCCCCAAAATGCCCAAATGGAACACTGTTATGTTATGGCCACAATAAATTTTCTAATATGTAAGACTATTCAAAACGGTTTGGTGACTATGTCACTGAGTTAGTGGGTAATTCAAAACTTCACTCACCATGACTTCGCAGATCCAGAGCCACAATCCTACACTGAACTCTACTAATGATTGCTGCCTATAAGAAAAAGTAAAAGTAGTATGACACATCTGGACTAACAAATTTTGCTGATCACCAATAATAACTGTTTTAAATAAACTGTCATAATTTAAGAGGATATAAAGACCTTTCTTCCACTTTTTTAAACTTATTACAGAACCACAAACTTTTTCCCTTTTTTCTTTTATAAGATGTATTTATTTTTATTGAAAGCCAGATATAAAGAGAGGCGGAGACAGAGAGGAAGATCTTCCATCTGATGATTCACTCCCCATATCATAGTGACCGCAACAGCCAGAGCTGCACCGATCCAAAGTCAGGAGCCAGGAGCTCTTCTGGGTCTCCCACGTGGGTACAGAGTCCCAACACTTTGGGCCGTCCTCAACTGCTTTCCCAGGCCACAAGCAGGGAGCCGAATGGGAAGTGGAGCTGCCGGGATTAGAACCTGTGCTGAAATGGGATCCCGGATGTTCAAGTGAGGACTTTAGCTGCTAGGCCACCACACTGGACTCAACCTTCCACTATTAATACAACTTTCTATTTTTAATAAAACTTTCCACTTTCAGCTAAAACAAAAGAATGAGGATTCTTTTTTTGGGGGGGGAGGGTCACATATTCTGGTTCTGTCCCAAATTATAAATACAGCATTTCCTGCTAAAATAGTCCTTTAACCTGAACTCTTCCTAGGTAGTCCTGAAACACAATCCAACCACCTTTAGACCCTGCCCTCTCACCTTATAACTATCTATTGTTTTTATCCATATTCTTTGGATACTCTCCCTTACTCTGAACAGATAATCTATTAGATAAGGACCATGAATCAATTTCCATCTTGGTTCACAGCATCACACAAATGTAACACTCAACCATGAAACAACCCTGAAAGCAGTATAAATCATGATGCCTACCAAAGAGTCACTTAAGAGACATACAACTTACACACAAGACTGTGGCACAGTTAAACAAAAATGTATTAAAAAAAGAAATCATAGTATCATGGGAGAGGTTCAATTTTGCAGGGTAAACAAAACTTCACATAATTGGAGATCTTCTTCAACTGAACTATACTGACCAAAGTATATCATAATTAGTGTTTATAAAAGAACAGACTAGAAATGTCTGGTCTAATATTCACATATTTTATGATTAAGGAAACTGAGGGCAAAGAAAGAAAATCATTTGATCAAGTCATTTTACAAGTCAGTAGTTTAAAAAAAAAAAGTAAAATCTAGATATGTTGCCTATATAACAGTCCACATATATCACAAAACAAGTCAGACTCCTGGGCCTGGCATTGTGGTATAGTTGGCAAAGCCACTAAATGTGATGTCAGTATCCTGAATGGGCACTGATTCAAACTCCAGCTACTCCACTTCCAATCTGGCTCCCTGCTAATGGCCTGGGAATGCAACACAAGATTCACCCACACAGGGACGTAGATGAAGCACCTTGCTTCAACCTGGCCTAGCTCTGGCCATTGTGGCTATCTGGGTTTTAGACTAGCAGATGTAAGATCTCTCTGTAACTCTAAATTTCAAAGAAACAAATAAAAAGTCAGATTCTTATATGGTACTTTCAAATAACAGAATAAATTATTTCTACTTCCATTACTATAGTTAATGAATATTTTTGTTTGTGTGTGTGTTTTTGAAAGGGTGAAGTAGACTAGACAGACAGACATTTCCTAACCATAGAGTCACTCCTCAAATGCATATAACAACCAGGGCTTGGCCAGGCCAAGGTAAGAGACTGGAACTTGAATATCCAAAGAATATGAATAAAAACAATAAATAGTTACAGGGTGAGAGGGCAGGGTCTAAAGGTAGTTGGATTGTATTTCAGGACTATCTAGGAAGAGTTCAGGTTAAAGGACTATTTTAGCAGGGAATGCTGTATTTATAATTTGGGACAGAACCAGAAGAGAGAGCCATTACCTGTCGCTTTCCGGAGTACACATCAGCAACAAGTTGGAAACAGGAACAGAGCTGTGATCTGAACCCAGATATTCTGACATGGGATGCAGGTACCCCAAGCGGCATCCGAACTGATACTATGCCAAATGTCCATAGTAATGAATATCTTTTAAGTGAACAATGGACTAGAATCCTACTATACATTGTTGTTCGTTCCTGAAAGCTGGGAGAAACACTGCTATATAGTTGGTAAAACCATTATTTGTGACATTCACATATGGCTGCCAGTTCGTGCCCTGGCAGTTCCACTTCCAATCCAGTTCCCTGCTAACGACCTGGGAAAAGCAGTAGAAAATGATCCGAGTGTTTCTGCCTTAACTACCCATGTGGGAAACCTGGAAGAAGCTCCTGGCTTTTAACTCTGGAAGCTGTGGGCTTCTAACTCTGGTCTGGCTCAGCCCTGGCCATTGTGGCCTTCTGGAGAGTGAACCAGCAAACAAAAAAAATCTTAGAAATAAAAATCTAGAAATAAAACTTATATTCCTGAGAGCTACTTTTTAATTTAAAGGAGTGATTTAATGTCAAATTGTAGCACTAAGTTTTGAATATCAAAACTAAGTCCATATTTTCAAAGTAAAATTAATTGGCAAAGGTGTCACATTTACTTCATTGCTAAACATTAAACAAGCAAAACTTGGTTTATGAAACAAAGTACATATTTGAGATTAGTAATTCTCAGTTGGCAATATAACTTGCTTGACACCGACGTCTGATATTTATACAATTTTCTAGTATATACACTTTGGACAGTTGAGCAAGTTTTTTGTGTATTCCTTAGTTGCCAAAAACTTTCAGCACAAGCAGATGTTCTTGATGAAATCCTTTCCGGGACTCTAAGGAGATGATAAGTGCACTGCAGTGAAAGGATTTCTAATACTGATTCATTCACTTCTGGGACTAAACCTCCTTGATCACAGTGTATTATTTTATGATGCTACTATATTCAATTTCTTTGAGAATTCCTGTTTGCTGGCTCACTCTGTGAATGCCTACAGAAGCTGGAGCTGAGCCCAGGTACTACAATATACAGTGCAGGTACTTTAGCTGCCAGATTAAAACCTGTCCCAGACACATTTTATAAGTGAGATTGGCGCAGTTTTCCTACATGATGATCATTTATTGGTTTTGGCAGTAGCTTAAAGTAATACTACTCTAAGTAATTTTTTTCATGATGGAAATTTTAAACAAATGTTCACCTTTTGGAGAAATATCAACACTCCATAAGATATCAAATATTCAGAGTAGGTGACAGAACAACAAGTCTCTAGCTAGTCTCCACATGTCCATTTGTATTTCCTGTTCAGTCAAGTATATGTATGACACATCTATACTTAATCAGTAACTGGACTTCTCTAAAGCTCAATATTCTCACTGTCTAAAACAGAGGTCCTCAATTATAAATACAAATGCTCACTTCCTCTAGAACTTCACAATCTGCTTGTGTTTCCACACAGTTTTCTCAACTCCGATAGGCCTAAATTAAGTCTAATGTGAATGTGAGTAGGGAAAAGGCTGTTTAAAAAAGTACTCTCTTGGGGCTGAAGCTGTGACACATCGAGTTACAGAGCTGCTTGCAATGCTGGCATCCTATGTTGGAGTACAGGTTCAAGTTCTGGCTGCTTTCTGATCAATCCAGTTTCCCTATTAACATTCCAAGGAAGAAAATAAAAAATGGCTCAAGTACTCAGGAAGACCAGAATGAGTTCCTAGCACAGGGATTCAGACTTGACCAGTTCCACCACTGTGGACATTAGGAAAATGAACTCAAATGTTTCTGTCCACTTCACAAAAAAGTTGTTTAAAAAATTAACATACAAGTCCATGGACTGCTATTGTAGCATAGCATATGAAGCTGTTACAACTCATATGGGTGTCAGTTTATGTCCAAGCTCCACTTCTAACCCAGCTCCCTTTTAATGTCTTACGAAAAGCAGTATAAGATGGCCCAAAACCTGCATGTGAGACTCAGCTGAAGTTCTCGGCTCCTGGTTTCAGCCCAGCCCAGCCCTGGTTGTTGTGATCACTTGAGAAGTGAAACAATGGATTGAAGATCTTTGTTCCCCCGCCCCCATAATTCTTTCATGTAAATAAATGTTTCTAAATTTTTTTAAGATTCATTCTTAAATTTTACATTTTAAATACAGAGCTACAGAAAGGAGACACACACAGTGATCTTCCAGGTATTTGAAACCTATCATTTGGAATCTAATATATCCCTAACCTTCCTGCATCAAGCAAGATGAGTGAGCATAGCAAAATTTTGGCTAGTTAAATCTATTTGTAAGTAAACAATGATTTCACTAATATCCATTTCTACCAGTAATAACTCACTGTGAATACAGCCCAGGACAGGGCAGAATGGCCTCCTCCATGCAGGAGCAGCAGGACTGGGCCCTCAGAACCACTCTTGTAAACTCGGAAAGTGTATGAATAGTTAAAGAAAATACACATATTTGTTCACTGAGGTTACTACTTTACTCATAATAACACTAAAATAAATACTAAAAACACTAACACTGAAAGCTACATGCAAATACTACAAAGCTATAGGCAAAACTACAGGTTTCCAAATTTAAGAGAAACTTAGACACTTCTGAGAAATCAATCAATCTTCTACTTTTGAAGTAAGGAGCCAGGAAGATGGGTTTCTTCACTGGAGAAAAATCACTGCCTTGGTCCTAATGATTAAACTCACTTGCCTGGGGAAACCTCTCCCTGAGCCCTTAAGAGCTATATCAGTTTTAGAAAATCTACATTTAATCGTTACCCCTTGTATTAGACAATTACAGCCAAGAAAGACACTGGGCATGAAGTTAATGGACTTACAGGTCATTTGCCATACTGTACAAAGAACAGCTAGGGAATAACATGAAATAGCAAATAAAGAGCATTTTGAAACTATACAACCTATATACAACTATACAAGACTTCTTAAGCATCATAAATTTGCTTTAAAAAATTCCACTTTGCAAAGGATATATCTTTGCCAGTTTCATTCTCTACTTCTACATCTTCCACGGACTCAAAGTACTGACTCCAAGGAACAGGGGAAAAGTCTCGCTTTCTTCCAGGGCTGAGGGAACAAAAAGAGACAAAAAATTCAAGCAAAAAACAGTTATACACTGATAGGTAAAACCTCGGTCAACAAATGCAAAACAAAATAAAACAGAAGGAATTCGTCACGTTAAAACACTTTTTAAGTTCAAATGCAGATTTCAGGCTACAATATTTAAGGGTAATCACAAGTACATTCTGTGTCTATATACACCACAAAATGCACTAGTTCCCTCTCACTGTTCATAGCTGTAGGCTCATTCCTATTCCTCAATTCACTATAATAATCACTCTTACTACAATCATTATTTTATATTCCTATTCCTTCATAAATTTTCATGCTTGTCATTTTCCAACCAATCAACATATACAATTTTTTCAAAGATTTATTCATTCATTTGAAAATCAGGGTTACAGAAAGAGAGAAAGAAGAGACAGACTTTCCATTCATTGATTCACTTTCCAAATGGCCCCAACAGCCAGGCCTGAGCCAGGGAAAGAAAGGACTACACAGCTTCTTCCAGATCTACAGGGCTGCACGGATCCAAACACATAGGCCATCTCCCGCTGCTTCCCCAGGGACAAATACAGGAAGCTGACTGAAAACGGAGCAGTTTGGTCTTGAACTGATACCCAAACAGGATGCCATCATTGCACCTGACAGTTTTTACCAACTATGTCAAAACACCCACCCCTCAAATGCCATTTACTAGAAGGTAAAATGGCAGTATCAATAGCTAAACTTTTTTAAAAAGATTTATTTTTATTAGAAAGGCAGATTTACAGAGAGAAGGAGAGACAGAGATCATCTATCTGCTGGTTCACTCCCCAAGTGACTGCAAGGGCCAGAGTTGATCTGATCCAGAGCCAGGAGCTTCTTCCAGGTCTCTGAGTAGGTGCAGGATTCCAAGGCTTTGGGCTATCCTTTATTGCTTTCTCAGTGTACAAGCAGGGAACTAAATGGTAAGTAGAGCATCTAGGATACAAACTGGCACCCATACGGGATCCTCGCACATGCAAGGCAAGGACTTTGGCCATTAGGCTACCATGCCAGACCCAAAATAATACATTTTTAAAAAAAATCTAATATTTGACATTTGGTCATTGCTCAGTAATAAAGAAAAAGTGTCTCTGTGGAAGTAAAATGAAATATCACCCTGGAAAACGACTTTGCTTTCGAGTTACACTTGAATTCCAACAGGAAAACTGAAACCAGAACTTGCAGTTTTACATAATCTTTCAGTCACTTACAAATCCACCTATGCATATACTAAGTTAAGTATGACAACTATAACATGATAAGTCAAACATGTTAATGATTCTAAAGATCCACACATGAATTTTTGGTACCATGGCAAAAGCATTTAACATTTACTGTTTACAACAGTGAGTCATTGTGCCAAATATTACCAGCATGATTCATTTAGTCCATACAGCCTTATTCTCATTTCACAGAAGAAGAAAAAAAGATTGAAAAATATATAGCAATTTTCCTAAGGTCACGCAACTATTAAGCGGCAGTGGTAAAATTCAAATACACTTCCACCCCTCTCCAGAGCTCTGTTGTTCATTCCAAAACTAAATTACATCTCAGATAATGCTTCTGAAAAGTAGTAAAGCTTTAGGTCCCAGCATCAGAGGTATTCTTAGCCAAATGTAAATATGACTGACTTTCCAATGCCACAGGAACTTTCCAAGCTGGCCAGCTGCCAGTTAAAGTGAAATTACTGGGGCCAGCGATGTGGCAGAGCAAGTAAAGGCACTGCTTGCTATGTTGACATCCCACACGACCAGTGGTTCAAGTCCCAGCTACTCCACTTCAGATCCACCTTTCTGCTAAAGCACTAGAGAAAGCAGTTCAGGTATTTGGGGGTGACCCAAAGAAGTTCCTGGCTCTAAATCAGTCCAGCTCTGGCCATTACAACGATGTGGGGAGTGACTAGACCTTAGATATCTCTCTCTCTGCCTTTAAAATCAAAACAAGACAAAAAGTTACTTCCTATAAAAAGATATCATTAAGAGCCAGCACAGTGGGATATCTGGCCTACTGTCTATGATGCTGGCATAACATATGGGTGCCACTGTGTGTCCTAGCTGCTGTACTTCCAATCCAGTTTCCTGACACTGCACCTGGGAAAGTAGCAGAGGATGATCCAATTTCTTGGAGTCCTGCAACCACATGGGAGACTTGGAAGAAGCTCCTGGCTTCAGCCTGGAATAGCAGATGGAAGATCTCTCCCCTTCTATAACTCGCTAATAAATAAGTCCTTTTTAAAATATATTTGTTCTGGGCCCAACGCACTAGTCAAGTGGCTACAGTCCTCTCCTTGCATGCACTGGGATCCCATATGGGCTTTTGTTCATGTCCTGGATGCTCTACTTCCCATCTACCTCCCTGCTTATGGCCAAGGGAAGCAGTAGAGGATGGTCCAAAGCCTTGAGACTTGCACCCACATGGCAGACCTGGAAGAAGCTCCTGGCTCCTGATCAGATCAACTCTGCAGTTGCAGCCACTTGGGGAGTGAACTAGTACATGGAAGATCTTTCTCTCTGTATCTCCTTCTCTTTGTACCTTCTTCCCTTCCTTTCCAATTAAAAAATTTTTTTTTCCATGGGAGAACAAGCTCCACTTCTAACTTCATTCTGGAAAGGGAAAGGTTGGAGTTCCAGGAACTACCTCACTTAAAACTACACAAATGAGTAATTCCCACTCAGTTAAGGAGTGAATAATTCCGCATCCCCAACGGTTGCCTGTATCCACAGAGATGTTCCAGTGTAATTCCAATACCTCATTTTGAATAACTTTTATCCTCCAAGATATCAGTTAATTAGACATTAAATAGGTACCAAGGCAAGTGTTGCGGTGCAGTGGACTAAGCTGCTGCTATGAGTCTTGGCTACTCAGCCTGCCATCAAGTTTTCTGATGACTCAAGTACAGGCTTGACTGCTGAGGCCATGTGGGGAGTGGACCAGTGGACTGAAGTGCATGTGTACTATCATGCTGCCTTTCAAATAAGTAAATCTTTTTTTCAAAATTAAAATTAAAATTAAAAAGTACAGTTAAAATGATACAAATGTTCAAAGAAGTAAGCATTCCAACTTGTTAAGTAAAGACATTTCATACAGGAAAGAAATGACATTTAAGCTGCGTGCCGTAGGACAAGGATGATTTGGACTGTTGGAAATACAGAAGGATAATGAACAAGTATGAAGAATGGGAGAGAAACAAGTATAAATAATGATCCAGTACAGTGATTGTCCTAGGGGACACTGAAAAAACAAAGAGCTAACTGGAATGAAGCAGAAACAAACAAACATCTTTGGAGGGACCCAAAACCAGAGAGGGTTTCAATGGTATCAGAAACAATGAGAAACCAATAAGATGTACTATTATTATGGTATATGAAAAGATCAATTTGATTGAAGGATATGATTCTGGGGAGAAAAATACATTGGAAGACCTGGCCAGGACAGGACAGGACCCTAAAATATAATGGAGTTTAAAAAGGGGGAAAACACATAGACATTTCAAAGTACAACTGTGGGGGGATGCTGTGGTGTGGTGGGTTAAGCTGTCACCTGCAATGCCGTTTCTTCTGGGCTCTGGTTTGAAGCTGGTTGTTCCCAATGTGCCTGGGAAGCAGATGACCCAAGTGCCCGGTACCCACGTGGAAGACTTAGATAAAGCTCCTGGCTTTGGCCTGGCCCAACCCCAGCAGTTGAGGACATTTGTATACTGAGTCAGAGAATGGAAGCTCTTTCTGTCTCTCCTCTGTGAAACTGCCTTTCAAACAAGTAAATAAATCTTTTTAAAAAAGTCTTAAAGTACAAGATATAAAATGACTGAGAGTAGAATCAACATCAAGAGTTCCAAGGTAACAGAGAGACTAAGTTATACACTTCGTAAATATAAATCTACTTTAGGTAGCAATACACATTTTTAAAAAAGATTTATTTATTTTTATTGCAAAGTCAGATATACAGAGAGAAGAGACAGAGAGGAAGCTCTTCCGTTATAACTCCCCAAGTGGCTGCAATGGCTGGAGCTGAGCCAATCGGAAGCCAGGAGCCAGAATCCTCCTCTAGATCTCTCACACAGGTACAGGGTCCCGAGGCTTTGGGCCGTCCTTGACTGCTTTCTCAGGCTGTAAGCAGGAAGGTAGATAGGAAGTGGGGTTGCTGGGACACAAGTAAGTGCCCATATGGGATTCCAGGCGTGTAAGGCAAGGATTTTAGCTACTACACTACCACGCCGGGCCCAATACACATTTCCATGTCACTAAAGGTTCTTTTTTTTTTCTGTAAAATTAATGCTATCGCATGAAAGATTTTGGTAAAGAAGGAAAAACTAGTGTTATGAGAAATCTAAATCCTGTGAATTTGCCTAAATCATGTACATCAAACGTTTATTGGCCACTATTATCACAATGATGTCCAGACTGTAATGACATGAATACTCAAACCAGAAAAAAGATGTCTGCACACACACACACACACACACACACGATTCCAAGCAGCTTTAAGAAACCCATCTATGAATCCCAAATTAAGAACTCTCAGCTCACACTCTAACCATAACCTACTTCTAGCAGAAAGAAAAAGGAAACATGAGCATTCTTAATAATTCATAAATTTATTTTCCATTTGTTTGTAAGGTTTATTTTCATGATATAGTTCTACCTTTATTAACTGCTGACCTTGGGCAAGTCACATAACTTCTTTAAGCTGAATAGTAACTTTACAGGAGTGATTATGAAGATGCACTTAGCTTGGTGCCTCAATAAATCTTTTTTATTACCATCACTAAATGGTTTTTAATAAACATAATCCCTTTACTTATCCTAATAAAGTTTCCAGGAGAAGAAGATGGCCGACGTAGAGAAGAAGATGGCCGACGTAGGAGGAAGGCTGTGAGGGAGCGTCCAGTGAGAGAAGGATAGAACGCTACAGAAGCAGCAAAGAGGAACAGCAGGGAACCGCAGGGAGAGGTCCGTGAAGCTCCCTGGGACAGTGTGGAG